CTGGCCTGTTGGGGCCCCCCCCCCCTTTAGTACCTCTTTCGAGGCCCTTTCGGGGACTAATGGGGGGCCCCCTTCGGGTTTGGGGACTTCTTCTGTGCCTTTTGCTTCTCTTGCCAGTTTCGCTGTGAGAGCTGCCGCTGCTGCTCTCAGCTCTGTAGCTGCTGCTGCTGCTGCTGCTGCTGCTGCTGCTGCTGTTGGGGGTCGGCTGCGGCTTCATTCGGCGGGTCCCGTTGCGCCCCCTGAGGGACGGCGACCCCAGGTGGGCCCCCTGGGGGCCCCCCTGGGGGCCCCCGTGGGGGGCCCCCTGGGGCCCCTTTTTGGGAAGGTTGTTGTTGCTGCTGCTGCCATCAGGGTCACCTCTTGTGAACGCTGGGGGCCCCTCAAGAGCAGCAGCAGCAGCACGGGGCCCCAGGAGGTGGGGGGCCCCTATGCTTCTCCTTGGGGAGGAGCGAGAAGCAACAGCAGCAACAGCAGCAGCAGCAGCAGCTCCTGCTGCTGCTGCTGAGCTATACGGAGGCCCCGACTTTCGGGGGCCACCCCCCGTGCGGACGGGGGCCCCCCCTGTGGGCCCCCCATCTGCTGCTGATAGCGGGAAACCAGCAGCAGCAGCAGCAGCTGCTGCTGGTGCTGCAGCAGGCGCAGCGGCGGGCTTGTCTTGCGCCTGCTGCGCCCCTGCTGCTGCTGCTGCTGCTGCTGCTGCTGCTGGGAGCGGATCCCCAAGACCCCCCGGAGAGTCCAACAAGGGGGGCCCCTCGAGGTAGTCTGAGGGGGCCCCTGCTCCTGCATTCCGCGGAGAGCTGCATGCACTTAAAGACAAAGCTAGGGGGGCCCCTGACCCAAAGGGGGGCCCCTGGGGGCCCCCCCTGTAGCTCCACATTGGGGGGGCAAGAATGCCTGGGGAGACCAGGGCGTCTTCCGGGGCCCCACAGCCCTGCTGCTGCTGCTGCTGCTGCTGCTGCTGCTGCTGCTGCTGCTGCTGCTCTATCTGAAGGACTTGCTGCTGGAAGGGGCAGCAGCACAAATCCCGCTGCTGCAGCGGCAGCACGTCTCTGTAGGCAGTCCTCAAAATCCTCTCGAACTCGACCCGAAACAGCTCATCCACAATGCGGCTTCAGCAGCAGCAGCAGCAGCAGCAGCAGCACCAATGAATTTGGAAGCCAAACGCAATATCTATTATAGTAGAAGTTGAAACCGCGAAATGAACAAACACGCCAACTGCAGCGGCTGAGGTGTACAGACACCTCGGCCCCGTGGCTCAACGATGCCATGCAGCAGCCTGCAAACCCTAAATTAGGGTTTAGGGCTTGGGATTAAGACTTTGGGGCTTACTTGACAATTTGCTCAAAGGTGGGCCGCATGCGCGGGTCTGTTTCCAAGCATGCGAGCGTCAAGTTTACTAAGAAGGGATCCTGCAGACAAACCCGAAGCACTACACCCCAAGCCCCAAACCCTAAACCCTAAACCCTAAACCCTAAATCCGGTTTCTGTGCTTATTTCGCGCTGAGACGTCGTGCGCGGGTGGTTTTTGCGGGGCTGTGCGTGGGCCGTCGAGCCCAGGGGTTTAGGGTTTAGGGTTTAGGGCTAGGGTTTGTACTTGGTGTTTGAAAAGATGAAGACTGGTCTTGTACTTGGGCTCCGACAAAGCCTTCCAGTCCCTAAACCCTAACAGCCGAGCAGCAATAACTCCAAAGGCCCAAACATCCGCGGGGCGGTCGTAGGCGGCGGTGCGCTGCTCGGGGGCAATGTAGCCCTGCAGCAGCAGCAGC